CTCTGCCTTCTTTGGGGCCAGTCATTGTTTGGGAGAACAATGCCCTCCTGGGGACCATGGCTGGGCCTACGTCATGGTGGTTGGGCAGGCTGCTCAAGGGACTCCCAGGAGGCGCACAGGGGACTGCTAAACCTCACCCTTTGGGCTTTTTTTGTTCCTCTGCTGATGCTGATGTCCTACACTTGAGGTTCTCTTTCCTTTCTTCATTACACATGAAAGCATCACCCATCCTTCAGAGTCTGGCCACGGACCCTAGGCAGTCCCAAACTCACCCCACTTTCCCCCAGTCCTCAGCTCTAGCCATGCTTATCACTTGCATACTGTGGCTCACTTGGGAGACAACTTGGGGACGGATCTGGCTCTGTTCCTTACTAGCTGCGTGTTCTGGGTGAATTCCACTGGGCCCTCGTTTTCTCATCTATGAATTAGGATAAAAATACCTACATCACAGGATCATTGTGAGAGGCAGGTGAAGCAAGTTAACCCATTGACTGCACTGGGCACTATGCCTGGTATACAGCGCATACTCAGTACATAGTGGTTTTTATGTTGATGTTTTTCAGTCTATGTTTGGCACCTTCCCAATGAGACTGAGAGCTTCTTGGGGGCAAGGACCATGACTCGTTTCAGTTTGTGATGGCAGAGCACAATTGGGGGCTGCAGAAAACACTCTGTATTTGTCAGCGCCTAAGTGTGCAACATATTTGATACTAAATGAGATATAAAATACAATCTCAAGTAACAGCCTCCACTATTGGATTGTATCAGAAACTATTGAGTAGGGAGCACCTGAGGGGCTCAGTCTCTTAAGCGTTTTGATTTTGGTTCAGGTCATGATCTCAGGGTCTTGAGATTGAGCCCCACATGAGGCTATGTGCAGAGTGTGGAGCCTGCTTAAGATACTCTTTTGTTCTCCCTCTGCCCCTCCTCACTCGAGCTCTCTCGCTCTCTCTCTCTCTCAAAACAAATAAGCAAACAAACAAAATGTTATTAAGAAGATCACCTCATAGCCCACACTTCCATTAATCCATTCATTCATTCACCATTGACTGATTGCTTCCTAAATAAATCCCCTCAAGCTTCTGTTTCTATATGCTTTCTTTAGTAGAGAGAGCTATAGGCTGGTGATGGAAGGTACTAGAATGCAGGGGAATGTAGACTGCTGCATTAGATTGCTGAGGATACAGATCTGCAGACCTCAGACCTCCCTATGCACCAGAAACAGCTTTGCTGGATACAGAATTTTGGCTCCCATCCCCCAGACGTTTTAGTTCAATGGGTCTAGGGTGATTTTAAAACAACAACCAAGCAAATGGAAAAAGAAAAACAAGAAACTCCCCAGGTGATGGTTCTGTAGTGCAGCCAGGGCTAAGAACCACTGGAGGAGGTGAGGCACAAATACCCCAGGGAACTTTTTTCCCCCAGGCAATGCTAAGGGGAGGGACTGCGTGCCAGGCTGAAGTGGGGAGCAGAGCCCTGGGCTGGAGGCAGGAGGAGGCACCTGCTCAGAGACTGAGCAAGTGTGGATTCACTTTGTCGCCTCTCCTTCCTGCTCCTCAGGAGGAGCCAGGAGACTATCCAGGCCAAAGTTCCCAGGAGAGAGGGGCTAAGGATATCAGAGGACATGAAAAGGCAGAGCTGTGTAGAGCTTAGGAAACAAGTCATTTCCAGAATGAGTCCCACTATTGCCCTACTTAGATGGAGCTGGAAGTCACAACTTGATGATGACATTGGGGCACCAGACCTCCAGACGTGGCCATTGTGTGAACATGCTTCTAACCTTGCAAAGGCATGTGAGCACATTTGCTCCTCTTCACCACTCAGCACCCCCCCACCCCCCTCTTCCTTGCCAATAAAGTCTGGGCAGGTCAGGGCTGATGAAGGGTTTCCAGGAGAGCAGTTGATTTGGAGCACTGGTGGTACCTGAGATCTGGGAGAACAGTTCCCTGGGCTGTTTCAGGTCATTTTCACAATGGCGGTTCCTGATGTGTAATCACTCCACAAGAGAATGTCTTCAAGGAAGCCAAACCCCCACCCTACAAATGTGGTGCTGCTGGGAATCCTGAGGACTTATTCCTGGCATATGACGTCAGGACACTTGATTTCCCTCTCCCTGTCTTCTAACTTCGCAGACAGGAAAATAGGGCTAGAGAAGATGGGAAGTTGCTCATCACCCCGGGGTTTGTACTGAGCATGAGATCATAGTTCCCAGCTTTTTCTAAGACACAGCTGGCTCATTCATGTTGGTGAATTTTAGTAGAGACTATCCAGCATTTACAATTTAAAAAGAGAAGGAAATTGAGAACAACGTCAGATCGTTTTCTTTTTTCTTTGCCTGTTTGTCTCTGCGCTTCTCGTTTCTCCGAGGTTGTCTGCCATTTAATCCAGGAATGTAGCATGAATAGGAACTTCGAGAGTATTTACAATTAAAGGGACCCTACTGAAGATATATTGTCTTGAATCTGGAGTTCTACTCCCTGCTTTTAATTGGGTGAATTGGGATCTTTTTTTTCACCATTAGCCAAGTTAAACTGTCCATTGGCTCCTGATGGATGAGAACAGCTGTGAGCTGAGGGTTAATGAAAGATTGTTGATATAGATAAGGGAAGTTTGTCTTCAGATATCTCCCAAAACCTAGGAACCCCAAAAGCTGAGCTGATCTTCAGCTGGTATCACCGTTCTGATTGGCCAGGCCAGTGGTATGACCAAACAAATTGGTTGTCAAGTATTTTTAATATCACCTTTCCATCAACATGGTGACATTCTTCTATAAGTGGAGAACTCACCCCTCACCATTACTGTGGAAACAATCCCTGTTCTCCTTCTCCTGCATCCAGAGAACATTCCCTTCCCCATAGTGGGATCTCTATTGACTTGTGCTACATTTCTATTGACTTGTAAGTTTGTTGTCACTAAATAGGTCAACAGAGAGACGAGTGTTAATTTCATCAAAAACTGTCCCTAGGGAAGCTACGGGAACATGGGGACAGTGGACAGTATTGGCCAGTGGCCTATACAAAAGGACTAGATGTGGCCATCTGGGGACATTATAATTCCTGCTAATTCTGACCCCAAGGCCACCACTGGGAAATGGTGGAGAGGATTTAGAGTTAGCTCTAGTTGGTCTAACACCTGGGTCCCTCCCTGGCTGGCAGAGGTCAAGGGAGGCTCATTAACCCTTCAGTTACTATATCTCATTCCCTCAATTAACTGCCTCTAGCTGGAAGCAGCTAGTTGAGCGCACTAAGGTGGGGCCTGAAAAGGTTAAATTGCCTCCTAAGTATCCAGTTCAGCCCAGGAGCAGTTGTTATCACCAGGCTGAGTCCGCTCAATACCCACAGAAGCCTGTTCCTTCTAACAAAGACCCTACAGCAGATGCATCTGGTTGAGATTCATCTATTCTCGTAACCTAAATTGCAAAGCATTTTCCAAAAGCCATTGAGTTGCAGAATTTTAAAAATGTATTTTGATTGCCAGATCTGCAGACTGGGTCAGTTTTCCAGGGCCTTATGCTTCCCCTCTTTTCCACTGGGGAAGAGGAAAAGGAGAGAGCCAGCAGCCGGTGATTGAAATGCAATTCTCCCTGGCCTGTAAGTCTCGGCTCCCATCTGTGCGTTATCCTGGCCACTCGCTGCAATGCCTGGGCCAAGGCCTGCCCTTCCTGATGGCTGCCCTCTGGACTCTACCAATGACCAGCGTGAAACCACTGCAGCTTTGCACCCCTGTGGCCTTTCATGGTCTTCAATCATTTGAGCTTCAGGAAAGTCTGTGAGAAAATAAGAGGAGGTAGAACTGTCCCCATTTCGTAGATGGGGAATATTGAACTCGGTGAAGATAAGTGACTTACCCAAGGATATGCAGTTTATGGTGGTCTTAGATCTTAATCTGTAACTTCTGTCTCTTGATTTCCTGCTCTTTTCACAAAAGAACATGGCTGTAAAAAAAAAAAAAAAAAAAAAAAAAAAAAACTCAGCGAGGAAAGAAATCTGTACGAAGTAGATTGTCTGAGTCCCCAGACCCGCGAGGGTTGGAATGATGCAAACTGATACTCGACTTCTTTTTTTTTAAAGATTTTATTTATTTATTTGACAGAGAGAGACACAGCAAAGAGAGGGAACACAAGCAGGGGGGGTGGGAGAGGGAAAAGCAGGCTTCCTGCTGAGCAGGGAGCCCGACGCGGGGCTCCATCCCAGGACCCTGGGATCATGACCTGAGCTAAAGGCAGATGCTTAACAACTGAGCCACCCAGGCGCCCCCGATATTCAACTTTTTAAATGCAGTAATGATCAATCTAGTCACCAAAAAATGTCATCTTAATCACCAGCATTATACAGAAGTAGCTATCAAAAATCAGTGCATAAGATGGGACACGTGATATGAATATTCTATGTTGTGTACCATATTACTGTAAAAGACTATAAAACACAACTTATATTTTTATGATGAAGTCCAGGATTTTTCATACTAATGAGTCATAGTCCATTAATATGCATCATGAGGTCAATTTTAATGGGTTGCTATCAGAATTTGAAGGAAAAATAGGGTAAGATAGGATCGAATTGAAAATATCAGAGTGTGAGGCATGTAGCAAAGGTAAGTATTGTACTCTGAGTCCTTTTGTCCAGTTACTGTGTGTACTGGATCACGACGTTTGAAGTATTTCTTGCTCAGTAGTCTTTCTCTTTTTCCTGCTCTGCCCCCTCCCATCTTTCTCCTTTCTCTTTTATTCCCTCTCTCCTTCTCTATGTACACAGGAAAAGTACCCAAACATCTGGTACCTTTGTCCTCGGTACACAGCCATCCACAACCCCCATCCTTCCCAACCCGACCATTTCCTCAGCCCCGGGTCTGGAGCAGAGGCTGTTTTCTCCAGTTGATACCGTCATGTTCCTTCCATTCTCCTCTTTTCGTCATGTGACCTTCGAAACGGGGTTTGCTTGTTCTCCCTCTGTTTGATAAACAAATTCTTCTATCTCTAAACTCTCATATTTACATTTCAGGCAAAGCAACTCAATCCTCAAGAAATGAAATCCCCAAGGAGAACCACATTGTGCTTCATGATTGTTGTGATTTATTTTTCCCAAGCTACACTGAACTTGAATTTAGAATCTATTGTTCATTCCTTGGTGAGTACATCCATGTCTGCTCTATTTTTCCTTGTCAAATTTTTCTGATTTCCTGGGAATGTCACAGATGGAAATTGCTTTTTAAAAAAAAAACTTTTTTTAGGGCCTTTGAGGAAATGTTGCAAATGTGGGGGAGGGAGTGAACATAAAGGGATGTCAGTGTGTCTACTGGGCTACCACTTAGCACACTCTGACATCAGTGGTGCTCAAGGGAACGTCCCCCAGCCTCCCTCCTCAACTAAATGGCCACCTTTAAGCCTGAAAGTCCACTCTGAAACTGACAACAATGACTCTAAGACAGGTTTGAAGGATGTGCAGGACGCACATGCTCAAAGGATTCATTTAAACTTGAGCATCAGACTAGAACACATTTCAGAAGGGGTGTGTGTGTGTGTGTGTGTGTCACAATCACAAACAGATAGAGATGATGGGGCCATGGATGTCATTTAACTTTTTGCTGACGGATTATCCAGGTGGTTTTGTTTGGGCTTTGGGAAGTCCATGGGAGAGTAGCTTAATGAGAGAGGGTGATAAATACTCCTTTACTCCTTATAGGAATTATTACTTATTCCTTTCTGAGGCCACTCAGGTCCCAGAGACAGGTCATGTTATGAAATTTTGAGAAACTGATGGAATTCTGTGTCTCCACTTCTTCACCTGTAGAGTGATGATAATAGTACTGATTTCCCGATTGCTAGGAGAATTAGATCTGTTAATATTTGTGAGACGCCTTAGAACAGGGCCTGGCACATAAGTTTTTTCCTTTTTTTATTTATTTGTCCCACTGTAATGGCATCTTGCCACTGATTTTTAGATAAGATATCTAAGTGCTATTTTACTCAGTCTATCACTATTATTAGAGCTTCACTGGTACTTTTTGGCATTATAGAATGTCACTTTTTGCTTTGCTTTGTACTTTTTAATTTTAATTCTTTGTCATATATTCCAATGACCAATCCTGGTTTTGTTTTTTGTTTTTTGGGTTTTTTTTGGTAAGGTATTTATCTCTCTCTCTCTCTCTCTCTCTCTCTCTCTTTAGAGAGAGCATAAGCAGAGGAGGAATAGAGGGAGAGGGAGAGAGAGCCTCAAGCAGACTCTGCCCTCAGTCCCTACTCAGAGCTCGATCTCATGACCCTGACCGACATCATGACCTGAGCCAAAACGAAGAGTCTGGAGCTCAATGGGCTGAGCCACTCAGACACCCCCAATCCTGTTTTTATATTTATGTTTGCCTGATCTTTGTTCTTTGTTTAGCCTTTAACACAGCACTTTGTGTTAATGGTTCTCTTATAAACAACACGTGCTTGAAGTTTTTTTTCTTCTAAACCCAACCTGAGTAAATCTGACTTTGATTAGGGGAGCACAGATTTATTCACATTTCATACCATGCTATATATAAGATGCTTGATCTTACTTTCAGGATTTTCTTTGCTAACTTTCTGTACATCTTTCTTCTTTCCTGCTTTTGTGTCTTTCATATGACCTTGGTTTTCTTCGTCTTTTTCATTACTTCTCTCATGACTTGGGAGCTAGATATGGTGTGTCTCTCCTCCCAGACTCCTGTGTGGGCTTCCCCTTGTGTGACTGTATGCGGCAGCTGGCTCAGATAAATAGGAGAGAAACCTTTACACATCCTGTGAACCCACAGGGTGAGTGTAGAGCTCTAGTTACTCAGGTCTGTGGGGGGAAAGCCCAAGCAGTGGGGTCAGCTGTACCTCTGTTCCAGACTTTCCTAGCATTCATGGCCGCAGCTGTGCCCTACCGCTCTGCCAGGTTGGTCCTCACTGCGGTGGCCCTAACAAAGCCCTATCTGCCCAGAGGCTGGTCAGGGGATAAGCTAGTGACCCCCAAAACTACTGGTGGAGTTCAGACTCCATCTTCTGGGAAACTCCCATTGCCACTCCAAAGGGCCCCACTTTTCCTCTTTAGATTTGTCTTTGAGATATAATATCTTCATACAACCCAAAGGCCAAAGACCCCCTCATTGGAGAGATGAACTCCAACCTCCCTCATCAGCTTATCCTCCCCTAAGCTGCCACTCAGTTCCCAAGGCTGACCTTCTACCATTTTAAATGCAACATGTAGTAATGAGCTTTTAAAAACACATTTGTGGTAAACGTGTACACAATTTATCATCCTAACTGCTTTTAAGTGTATAGTTCAGTAGTCTTAAATAGATCCACATTCCCATGCAACCCATTTCCAGAACTTTTTCACCCTGCAAAACTGAAAATCAGGGTGTCTGGGTGGCTCAATCAGTTGAGCCTCTGCCTTCAGCTCAGGTCATGATCTCAGGGTCCTGGGATCGGGCCCCGCATTGGGCTCCCTGCTCAGCGGGGAACCTGCTTCTCCCTCTCCTCCTTGCTTGTGCTCTCTCTTGCTGTCTCTGTCACTATCTCTCTCTCTCTCAAATAAATAAAAATATTTTTTTAAAAACCCTGAAAATCACTACCTATTAAACAACAACTTCTCATTTCCCCTTTCCCCCAGCTCCTGGCAACTGCTATCATACTTCCTTTCTATGACTTCAAGTACTTTAAGTCCCTGGTGTGAGTGGAATCATACAGTATTTGCCCTTACGTGGCTAACTGATTTCACTTAACAGAATGTTCTAAAAATTTACCTCTGTGGTAATAGGCGTGAGAATTTCCTTCCTTTCTTAAGCCTGAATAATGACCCATTATATGTATATCCCACATTTTGTTTACCCATTATCCATTCATGGACACTTGGGTTGCTTTCTAGGCTATTCTGAATGATGAGGGGGCTCTGGGTTTGTGCGCGCGAATATGGGGTGACGGGCTTTGAAAGTGCGATAATGTAGTTTCTCCAACTTCAGTGTGTGAGTTAACCCATTTGCACACCCTATTAAGATGCAGAATTCAACTCAGGAAGTCTGGGGTGGGACCTGGATGTGGCCTTTCTGACAGGTTGCCCTTGATCCTGCTCCCATGATGGCCCTTTGAGCAGCTGTGGGCCTTCAACCTCAGTATCACAGCTGAGTCTGAAGCCTGGCTCTGTCAGCTTTGGAAATTTCTTCATCCAGTTCTTCATCTCCCTGAACCTGCCTCCTCTGCACACTGTGAGAGTAAATAGTATCTCTTCACTGGTTTGTCATGAGGATTAGATGTTCTCATACACAAACGTACGCCTGGGCACAGTGACTGGTGCAGAACAAGAACTTCAGACTTGGGGGTCACTTCTACTATGCTAGTATAAATCAACCCATGTTAGTATGCCTCTGTGGGGAGACATCCTGCCAAGAGCTTGGCTGAGACAATTATCTAACCAGAGGCAAAGATGGTATACGGGGGATTCCAAGAAAAAGAGGAGCGAGTGACAGAGCCTTGGTGAGAAGGACTGAGATCTGGCCACCTCTGGAGACCTTGTTTGTCATCCCGTTCCCTGGGATAATGTTTTCTACCCATAAAATGCCACCTCTTCGTTCCTCACAGATTGTCCACGCCCACTTCAGGTCCCTCTCTCTCCCCCATACACAATTATTTGAAAGTCATCATGTCCAGGGCGCCTGGGTGGCTCAGTGGGTTAAGCCGCTGCCTTCGGCTCAGGTCATGATCTCAGGGTCCTGGGATCGAGTCCCACATCGGGCTCTCTGCTCAGCGGGGAGCCTGTTTCCCTCTCTCTCTCTCTGCCTGCCTCTCTGTCTACTTGTGATCTCTCTGTGTCAAATAAATAAATAAAATCTTAAAAAAAAAAAAAAAAAGTCATCATGTCCAAAAGGTGGGGCATTTCCTGGAATTGGTGACCTTGTGTCTTCCGACTGAGACTTGGCCATAAGGAAATCCCCTTTGCACAGAGATGGCCATTGTCCTCAGCTACTCATCTGGGTACCTCTACGTGGACAAGCAGAGGGAGGCCCCCTGGACGTTCTGTTTTCTTGTCTGAAGTAAATATTTCATCTGGCAAGATCTATGCTCCCTGGAGAGTTCTCCTCAGCACCCAATGTTTAAGAAAAAAGACAAGTGCCAGGGTCACAGATGTCCCTGTACTGGGGTCACATGAGGACTCAGGAGGGCAAGGATGGCCCCTGGCGAGCCTCAAGTAGGCTGGACACACACCACTGCCAGAAACTGTCCAAACCTCTGGTGTGCCTCAGAACACAACCTTCCATAACGTAAGACACTGAGCCTTAGAGAAAGTGAATGACTTTTCCAGCTACAAAAGAGAGGAGGTGCTGGGATTCCAGAGCGGGTGGGACTGTTGCATTTGCCTTTGTTGAAATCCAGGCCCCATGACCGGGCAGCCCTTCTCTTTGTACCTTCTCAAATCTGGGAGGGCCAAGGGTATGCACCATCATCACCACCACTAGGGGACTCCTCAGACACTTGATCACTTTTAGTTTTTTCCTCCATTTTCCCCAAAGACTGCAGGGCTTAAAGTAAGCAAGTAGGTTATTCTCACAAGAAGTTGTGCCTCCTCACTGGACAAAAGCGGCCACAGGTGACAAAGCTGCAGGAGCCCACTTTGTGGAGATGTCCCCTGATGCTTCCAGTTAATCACCATCAGGATGCGGAGAAAAGTGAAAAAGTAACATTTCTTGAAAGATGGCCTCATGTTCAAAAGGCGGCTTTTGTCACCATACCCCAGTCCTGCTAAACTGGATTGGGGAGCGGAAGGAAGGGATCCTCACAGTTGTAGATTGAAATGCTGTGTACCAGGGAAAGGACTGCACCTTGATTTTTTTTAACCTCAATTCTTTAGTCCCCCGACAGATTAGAGAAGATGAAATCAAGACACTGGCGAGCTTCCCAAAATTGACCGCCAGTAGTCACCCTCTCCTGGGCTGAGTCCCTCAAACCACAGCTCATGAAGAGTGCACTGAGAGGTCTTCCTGGTGGCTCCCCCCTCCTTGTCCCCAGGCCCCAGGGAGGATGGACACAGGAATGCAGCGGAAGATCCTTTCCTTCTGCCTGGGCGCAGAGCCAAAGCAGGCTCCAGGGGAAGCTGGACAGGAACCAGCCCTATGCATTGATTTTGCTCCCTCTTGGTTCCTGTGCATTTAAATATGGCTAAAATAAACCCATTGCAAACAAGATAGCAACTAGGCTTTGTAAATTCCAGTCATCATGCATCATTCCTCTCTTTGTTGCTCCAAGCACATTTGTGAACTGTTGGGTATGTGGCCCCTCTACAGATCCTCATGGATGTTAACACTGTCATTGAAAAGCAGGAGGGGATAGGAGGAGGCAACAGAGAAAGAGAAAGGGTGCTGGGTAAGGGACACCGGGGTTCTGAGACAGACCCACAGTTTCGTGGGGTGTCTCCTGATAAGATCACTCATTGCCTGTATGGACAAATGTAGACTCGAGCCAGACCAGGTGAGTTGGAGTCCTGGTTCTGCCTTTAAAGTCTGTGTGAGCTTAAGTGACTCATTTGACCTCTGCCACTGTGCTTTCTTATCCGTGTATGTGGATAATAATAGTATCAGTGTCTTAGATTGTCATGAGGATTAAATAGCTCAACACACATCAACTTAACAGTGCCTGGCACAGGGGTGTTGGATACACCTCAAAAATTATTATTTTGGGGGCCCTTGGGTGGCTTAGTCGGTTAAGCGTCTACCTTCGGCTCGGGTCATGATACTCTGGTATCAAGCCCCAAGTCAGGCTTCCTGCTCGGTCGGGAGTCCGCTTCTCCCTCTCCCTCTGCCGCTCCCGCTGTTTGTGCTCTCTCTCTCTCAAATAAATAAATAAATAAAATCTTTTAAAAAAAGAATTATTATTATCATTGTCATTATGATGAGAGACAACTAGGAACTAATGGTAGACATCACAGATGGTAGAACGAGCTCTGCCCTGGGGGGTGTTCATAGGTATGTGGAGTTTGTGGTAAAGGACACACCCCAAAGGGTAGGGGCTATCTGGCTCTTCTATTGAGCCTTGAGGGGAGTTTGTATTAGGAAGCATATCCTAGCAGGGATAAACTAGGAAGCCTAGGTCGGGTCAAGGTGTGGTTACCTGCTGCAGAATTGGCACAGATCCCAATAGCAAAGCCAGTCAAAGTCAGTTCTTAAACAAAGAATCTGCATGACACCAGGAGAAGAGCTTTATAGAGATGAAGTAAATGGCAGTGTGTGTGAAGGGGTCCATGTGAATGGTGCCCCTAGAAGAGTGTGATGTGTGGTCCCAGAAGAGCACGTGGAGGTCTTCCTAATATTCTCAGTGTTTTACATTTGTTAATCATTTGATCCTTATGACAACCTCGTGAGGTAGACTGTTCCTCTCCCTATATTATAAATGAGTGCTGAAGCACAGAGAGGTTAAATAACTTGCCCACTGTCACACAGCCATTTTATGGCACAGCTAGGATTTGAACTCAATGTCTGCAGAGTCCTTGCTCTTAATGATTATATTATATGATACAATTCAACTTTATTAGGGGCTAACTATGTGTCACATGGCAGTTCATTTAATTCTCATAAGCGTCCTATGAGTGCACTAATTTTATTATTCTGTTTTACTGAAAAGAAAACTGAGGCTCAGAAAGAAGTTCCTCAAGGTCTCAGATATGGTGATTTGGGGTTCGTCTCCTGCGTCTGGAGAGCGGTCTCTAAAATGAACGCCAGCTCCCAGTACAGAACACCTGCCATTCACAGGACACAAGCTTCTCACTGGGATCCTCAGCCCTCAGCTCAGCTCTGACATTTCAGGCCATATGAGCAGAAAGCCATGGAGAAAAGATATCTCTGACACTAACTGACGGTTTCCTAAAATGTTCTTTCAGATTCTCCATGAACATGAACCAGCAGGGAAGGACTCACTAAGGCAAAAACGAGCAAGTATGTAACCTCTTTCTTTGCTTTGCAGTTTCTTCTAGTAAGTCTGACCAAATGACATTTACTGTGACTTTCCCAACCCTGTCGTCCACATAATTCAGTCTGCAAGTGCGTCATGGTTCAATTTCTAGAAGTAATTAGAAGGGAACTCCATTCCCTACTCTACCTAATGACATTCAGTGGATCTTAGCAACACATTATAAGCCCCTCATTTCCTCCCTCACTGCTCTCCTGAAATCCTGAAGAGTCTGTTTCCAATGGCTCTCTCCTCAGCTCCCAACTTCCTCATGGTAACCTTTCAAAAGCTCCAATCTGATTCCACTATTTTCCTGCACAAAATCTTTGATGAGCTCCCAATTGCCTTGGAGAGAAAATCCAATCACCTGTGAGCCTTGCCAGACATCACGTGACCTTCCCACTTGTTCTCCTTCTGTTTCCTTTCACATGGTCACTGCCCCACCCGCCACCTACTTTGTTGTCTGGGGGACTCCAACCTGAGTCTCCATTCACATGGTCTCCTGCCACGTAAGGCTTTCCACTGATGCCCCAACCAGGGAGGGGCTGTTTCTCTGGGTTCCCACTGCCCTGGTTACATTCTCAGAGCAGCAGATCTGTCCCAGGGCGTTGTAATTATTTTACTTCCTGTGTGTCATTCCCAGGAGAGACGCATTCTCTTGAGCCCTCTTCATCACTGTAACCTGGCATCGAGCCCAGTTTCTCAGTAACTGAGTTAACAAATGAAGAGAGTGTGTGTCCCTTGTCACAGCTGCCCCTTTGTGAGTTGAGGACGCGTTCCTATCGCTCAAAGTCCACTGTCTTAATGTCTGTACTAATTCTGGAGAAGGTAGAACTTCTTAACTTTTAGGATTATGACTGATTCAAGTCCAGTGTGCCGTGGCTTGGTCTGTTCAGTCTTGTGGTCCACAAGAGTCAAGAAGCTGCCAAAGAGAGTGGGCTTACCCTGAGGCCGGGATAAAGGTGTCCCTTAGAACCTTCCAGAGCAGCAGCCGGCTCCAACTTTGCTCCATTGCTTGAAATGACAATTTAATCATATTTTATTGAGGTCTCAAAATGTTCACTGGAAGGTCACACCTTCATTTTTTCTTCTTTTGCCTTTCTTTCTTTCTGCTTTAGCTCTGTGTTATATCCACACACCTTTGCTATCCCACTCCCCTCCTTCCCTAAAGCGATCTGAAGCACACAGACCACACTTTCCCTGCTTTAAACAAGCAACGGGACATGGACTCCCTGGGTCCCCCTTGCAGCCTGTGACAGCAACAGAGCTGGAGATGTCCCCGTTCGTCATTCGGAAAGACTTTCCTTTTTAAGATCAGACTGTTTGTGGGTGAGTTCTAGCGCCAGGCTTCTGCCAGGCTCTTGTGGGCCTCAGGCTGCCAGCTTCCTCGGGGACAGTTGGTGACTGTAGAGTTGTAAAAGGAACGTCTTCCTGTCCTTCCGGGCCCAGCTATTTATGACTGTGGTGACATCGTGAGAGGTTAGCCTTTGGGGGAGGAAACCACTTCTACGTCTAAGGATTTTGACATACCAAAATTATCCAGATGTGCTTTCATTAAAAACAATCATCATGATGATAAATTACCATGAAAACCTGTTTTCCATTTATTGGACATGATCCTCTGTGCTCTTTGGCCTCTGGAGTCATTATGGAAGTGTTAATGGCTCAAGGCATTGTCTGCGGAAGATGAGTTGGCTTTGGTACTTTTACAAAATCTCCAAAGAAATGGCCACGGAAAGACCCAGGCGTTAGACCACACAGAGCTGGGATGGGAGTTGAAAGAGAGAGCACCACTGTCCCGGAAAACCATGAAAGAAACCAACAGAAGGATTACAGTTAGCAGATGCCTCACGGAGGTGTCTGTGTTCTACTTGCTGTAGAAGTTCAGTGAGGCGAGAGGATTGAGCTCTGATTTTCAGGGTGATATCCCCTTTCACATATAAACTCATCCTCCCCTTCTGGGATTTAAGGCCAGACAATCAAAGATTCCAAGAGAAAGAGGATCCTCAAAAGGATTGTCCTTTTGAGGCACTGGATCAGATCCTTAGGGTTTGGGATCAAATCATCCTGAAAAGTAGGATCAACACTCCCATTTATGCTCAGAGCCCTTTAGACTGCTTTCTAAGTCACTCTGGTTAGCTATGTAACTTCAGGGTCCCTTGATGCACACACATGGGTATATGCGTGTATTACGTATATGTCATATACATATTACACACATAAACCCAGACATACATATGCATACAAATATATATGAATGATTATTTTACAGGGTTGTTGATATTAGATAATATTATGTACTTATTATTTAAATGTTACTAGGTTTATCTAGGGGTTTGCTTGATTTGGGGATTTTTTAAAAACATAAACACAGGGGCTCCTGGGTGGCTCAGATGGTTGGGTTATTGCATTCTGCTCAGGTCATGGTCCCGGGATCCTGGGATTGAGTCCTGTGTCAGGCTCTCTGCTCAATGGGGAGCCTGCTTTTCCCTCTCTCCGTCTCTCATGAATATATAAATAAAATCTTGGAAAAAAAAAAAGATAAAAGAAAAATTTTTAAAAAACTAGAAACAGATTTATTTATAAAAATAGTATTGAATCTGATGGAGCCTGAAATATCCCAGGTACAGAGAAAGTCCCATATAACCACTGAAGGCAGGAGGAGGAATGCTGGGAGATACAAGTTAGTGTTTTTGGAAAAGTATTTCAGAACTCGGTTGGGGAAGAGAAGTCTGCACAAAAACTCGGAGGCCAAGAGGCCAGAAGAAGGGTGGACCTGCCAGTTAGAGCAGAGAGGCCTCAGGGGAGCAGAAGGAAATAAGAATGGGACACAGCATCCCGTCATGTCCCCATGACACTAGGAGGTATATTCTAGATCAGCTAAAAGGGTAGCACAGAGGAGGGACTGATGGAAACCCTCTGAAGTGAAAAGTAGCCAGATGGTTGTGGCTGAATGAATTATATGAAGAAGTCAGCGCTCGGAAGCCCAGCGAGGAGGCTTATCCTCATGGACCATCCCTGGCCCCAGCCCCTCAAGGGAAACAGGAAAGGAGAAAGGGGAACGCTTGTGAAGGATATTATGACAAGTGGATCAAAAGGACTTGGAGACAGCTTTGACGTGGGGTGACGGGTAGCAGCAATCCATGTGACATTCCGGGAGCACATAGACCTGGACATCTGGGGGATGTGGAGACCCGAGGTAGAACCCGGAGTTGGAATGGAGATATCATCTTGGAGATTTGTCGGTCAGCTCCCAGTTGAGTCTTACGAGTATTCTTCGTAGGGGAGCGAGAGCAGAAGTTTCTTCTTGGTTAGAATAACACAAGTACGTTCTCTAGGTGCCTTTGTGAAGTTCTCCACGCCAGGTTTCCAAGCTTCGTTGGGAATGTTCTTGCGCCCTGGGCAGAAAAGCCCTAATGGGTTCTTCTTTGGCTTCAAAAGGAATGGCTGACAGCAGACCCATTTTCGAGAAAGGGAGAAAGGGATGTCCTATCCTCATGCTGGAGGTTCTTCATGTTCATACTGCCTAGTGAGAGAATTGGGTGGTTGGCTTCCAGGGTGGGAATCTCGATCTTTCTGCGGACCTGGCAGCCCCAGCCTGTGCTGGCCCTTCTTCATCTGGGTCCATGAAATGCTGTGCATTTTCCAGGTTAAGGAACACATTTGGGGGGTTCGTGGCCTTCGTCTTCCTTAGGGTAGCATGTGGTACTTTGTACACTTATCCCAGAGAAGGATGACAAGGCTAAGAAACCCCCGCCCTCAGTGGTTTTAGGGTTGACCCTCCATGTGCTGGGAATCCTTCTTTCTTTTAATTTCTGATTAGTGTGGTGTATCTGTTTAACCATCTCAAAGGTGAGACCCGACTAGAATAGCATTAGCTCCTCTTGTCCTACCAGCAGACATCTGCGTGTCATATGGCCATCACATTTATTATAATTTATATTCTTACTTCTACCTGCTGTTTCAGACTGGCTACTGTACTAGCCATACAATTGGCTAGGGGTCTCTATACCAACTTCTTAGCATCAATTCTGCAAATAATATATTACCCCTGTTTGACACATGGCAAAGAGTGGCTCACAGAGGTTTAATGGCCCAGGAAAGAAGATACTTGACCCCATCTCACTCTGACTCCAAAGTCCATGCTCGCAAGGCAGAGTTAAGAGCTTTCAACATGGGTTTCTGGCTCTTGCCCGCGAGATTCCAGGCCATGATTATGAGAGCAGCTTTGTAGGGGAAGGAGGAAGGAGCACTGTCTTCATCTTAGTAGGAAAAGAATTTTACACAGGACTGAATTTGATGACTCGGGTATATGACAAACTGGGAGAATTGATCACTTTCTCCATTACAGTCCGATGTTCTATGACACACTGGGTTGCCTATGCTCTCCTCCATCGACACCTGCCAGCGAGCCCAGCCTGGGGGTTCTGGTAGTTTTCCCTTGCATGAACAAACCTTTCTAAAGCCTAAAGGGAGGACATGATCCTCGGACTCTGTCCTGACAACGGTACAATAGGATACAGGTGTTCCTGCCAAATTGCTACCTACTAAAACATACTAAGAAAGAAGCAGAAGAACAGGCACCTTTTAATATTTACCCGCTATGAGACTAAAGGTGAGAACAACAGGGCCAGATCTTCAGTGATAAAGAAGTATTGTCCCTTTGGGTCAAGAGAAAAAAATCACATCAATTTCATTTCTCTTGTGTGAAGTCAGCAGCCTTCATTCTTTTACAGGTGGGAGATTAATTTACACATAGACTTAGGCTCCAACTTCTGAGAAGCTGTAATTCCCATTGGAGTGGCCAGGCAAAAATAGGGTTGTTTGCTTAAACAGCTGTGATTAAGACCCAGAACTACTTGACACAGTTTGGGGCCAACTTTCCAGAAATGTGTCTTTAAGATAAGTGCTGTGTGGCGGGCAGCGATTTCTGGGAAAGGAGAGGGGAAATCCTGGCTGGTCTGTGTCTCTGGGCCTGCCAATAGGC